AAATATGGCTTCCCAGGAGGCACTAATGATAAAGAATCCACCTGCTAATGCAGGAGACATAAGAGATGCAGGTTCAGTCCCTGGGTCAGGAAGATTCTCTGGAGGAGGAAAGGGCAATCCACTGCAATATTCTTAACTGGAAAATTTCATGGACAGAGAAACCTGGCAGGCTATAGTCCATGGGATTGCAAAGACACATGAGCGACTGAACACACTTGTGTAATTGCATTATCTAGTTGACTTTAGCAGTTTCTAAAGTCAAGTCATGCTCAAGAAACATATTTTCCCCTCTCTGAAAATATTGACTTTTTCAGAGTTTAAAATTAATTTTTCTAAATTCACTCTCATGCCACAATGCCAGCCAAGCTGGTATCTACATGTTATTACACTCAACAAATAGCTCTTTTCTTTCCACAGTGCTCCAAGTACTAGTTTTTTTTAAAATGGCTTCATTGAGATAACATCCACAACCATGTGCATGTATGAGTGCACGGGTGCTCGGTCGTGTCCAGCTCTTTGTGACCCCCCCTCGCCAGGCTCCTTTGTCCATGGGATTTCCCAGGCAAGAATACTGGAGTGGGTTGCCATTTCCTCTTCTGGGGGATCTTCCTGACCCAGGGGTCAAACCTGCATCTCCTATATTGGCAGGCAGATTCTTTACCACTGATCCAGCTGGGAAGCCTTTACAACCATGTACTCTGTTAATTTAAATGCACAATTTAACAGTTTCTAGTACATTCAGAATTGTGCAACCATCACCACAATCTAATTTTCAAACATTTTTATCATCCCTGAAAGAAACCCTGAACCATCAGCTGTCACTGGCCATCCCGCATCGGATCATGGATTTTTTCCAATAAATATAATCGGCCCTCCATAGTCTCAGGTTTTACTTCGGTGGATCTAACCAGCCTTGGATAGAAATTTCTATCCGTGGTTGGGTAAATCTGAGGATATGGAGGGCTGACTGTACTATACCACTTTATATAAGGGACATGAGCATCCTTGGATCTTGGTATATGTGAGGGCTCCTAGAACCAATCCCCCTCAGGCATTGAGAGGCAACAGTATACTATGTTTTTTCCTATACGTACAGCTTATGATAAAGTTTGACTCATGAATTAGGTACTAGAAGAGAATGTCCAAATTGCTAGCATCACTACTCTTGTGCTTTAGGGTCATTAAGCAAAATAAGGGTTATTTAAACACAAGCACTGCTATCCTGCAACAGGCAGCTGATAATCTGGATTGCTACTATGTGACTAATGGTCGGGATATGCTGGACAAAGGGATGATTCATGTCTCAGGCAGGATGGAGCCGAACATCGAGAGATGTCATCATGCTACTCAGAACGGTGTGAAATGTGAAACTATCAACTGCTTATTTCTGGAATTCTCCATTTAATATTTTTGGACTGCAGTTGACCGTGGGTAAATGAAACCTCAGAAAGCAAAACTGGGGCTAAGAGGGGGATGACTGTACTTGCTTAGCAAGTTGGTGATAAACCCTTAGTTACTATTTCTATATCTGGGGATTTTTCTGATCTGGTTCCTTACTCTTTTTGGCCAGGGTCTTTCTGGCTTTTGCCTTTGCATTTATGTTTGGAATGAGATGGGAAAGTGGATCCTATGAAAAGGTTAAAAAGTTCTTTGATGATCATACGGCAATATAATTTGGTTCCTTAAGATTCCACTGAGAATAAACTAGTCATCTCAACTAGTTGTCAAGATAATCATTAGAAATCAGGGAAACAACATTTACATGTAATTGTGACAACAGTCCTAATTAAAAGCTACAGTTTACATTTATAAAGCAGCTATAATTCATTTATTATTTTTGTTTCACTGCCTATATTCAGATTTTGTTTTATATGGCTAAAGTTATTTTCAGAGGTTTATTCTTTTCTTTTTTCCTCTTTTGGTTGAGCCTTGAAGCAAGTTGGGTCTTAGTTCCCTGACTGGGGATGGAACCTGTACCTCCAGCAGTGGAAGTGCAGAGTCTTAACCACTGGACTGCCAGACAAGTCCCTAGGGGTTAATTCTTAGGAAAACAGTGTTGAAAGATTCTTCTCTAACAATTCTCTCATGTCTTTTTAGTCACTGAATTAAATTTTATGAAACTCTGATATAAAGACACCAAAACTCAGCCAAGTCAACTGAACTTCACTAGCCTTCCTAAATGCCTTAATCACTCTCTGACCAGCTATCACTGTAGTGAGCATTCTCTCTCCCCATGGAGAGCTCAACTGCAATTTTTGTTTTATTTTCCCTTAAGCAGTCAGGGCATTTCCTCATTATCTAGAAGCTGGCTGAAGGTTTCAGATTTCCCCTGAGAGGTTCAGACAAAATGGCTGTACTAAAGTACTGATATTAATGTTTTTGTAACATGCTATTTGTTTTCTATGTTGTTCCTCAATTGACTGGTGAATTATCCAGTATAATGACAATAAACTTTTCTTAATAAACTCAGAAATCTCTAGGTAGACTGAAAGTACTCTATGTACTACAGTGAGAAGAAAAACAAATCCTTATTTTTATGCACATATTCAAACTCTCTGCTAATATAGTTCTCTCAGTCCTGGTGTAGAAAGTATACATCTGGGAATTCACTGTTGCATTAAGGCCCTTTCATTTTCCTTTTCCGTCTTTTACAAACAAGTGTTCTAATGCATTCGTTGAGGACACAGAATTTTATGTGGTTGTTGGCAAAGACACTTAACAAATGAAATTTCTGGGGAAGAAAAAGCGAACATACTTTATTTGTTCAATTAATGGCCAAGTTAAAAGAGAATGATAATGAGAACATGGTTTCAAAAGTTCACTCTCTCATACATAGTGTTTTGAGCAATGAGAATGACCAATAAAACATGAGTTGTCACCAAGAAGAACTACCGCAGCACCTACTTTTGATGTTGTTACTGTTTTCTTTAGTCACCTTTCAGTCTAGCGGCAGGAGGAGTGATTCACAATTATCGATACTACGACTGAATCAGTGTTACCCACCCTCTTCACTTAGCTCTAAGGAAAGGCAGCAAAATTCAAGTTCATAAACCTATCTGAAAAATGCTGTGATTTGCAAAGTTTCATAATACAAATGTTAAAATAAGACTGTTAATGACCGCTTCATATGGAATTTTCCTTGTATTTCTAGAAAGCAGATGCTTCGAGAAGTTCCTTTTTATTAACTGAAAATTTCATGCAAGAGGAAAACAAGGACTCTATAAAAACCGTACAGTTCAATAGCAGTCTTCATATATCCATTACGGGTTCAGCTTGTGCTTTCACTGCTTAATCACCTCCATAACTGGCAAATGCTGTTAAATATGACCCATTTTCTCAAAGAAAATATCAATTTTCAGGCCTCTGATTAAAGGAGAATACTACTAAGGCAACCTCAGCATACACATTCAACACATTTTGTGTGGAATGAAACAATAGGAATACTATATAAATCAAATTATATGTGTATAAAAATGACAAAACATTTACAGATGAACAAAATTCACATTCTTAATAAACAGAACCCTGTTGCCACTCTGGCCCCAAATGTGGATTCCAAGGAGCAAGTACAAAGAATTACTTTTCTTAGAACAAGTTATGACAAGGAAAGAATTATATCAGCCATAATGCTCATTTTTTCAAAAAGATGAGAATATTCAGCTAGCAGGAAAATTTTAAAAGATACTTTTTTTTTTGGTAAGAGAGAAGTACTTTGGAATTTCAAACTTAATACCTGAATGGGATGACAGATCATAACACCTTTCTCACACACACACTACATAAATAAATAAAAGAGAAGAAAAACAGCGCCAGTCAGGTTGTGGCTGCACATAGCTATCTCTGTTTATCAGTGCCTGATATCCGGACTGGGTGCTGTTCCCACAGTCTCCTATCAGCACAACCATTTAGAAATGAAACAAACCACAGCAGGAAACAAGGAAAACAACTCTCTGGCTGTCTGGTACATATCACCACTTCAAACTCAGAATATAAAAATTCTCTGCTCAAGTTTCTGAATATTGACTTTAAGTTGTCCCCAGATAAACAAATAGGGAGGTCCTTATTAGAACTGGATGAACTATCTCTGTGACTCGTGACATGAAAGTTTCTCGCAGCCTCATCTAAGCACGCTCCACAATATAAGAAGTGTCACGGACAATGCCGCTGTCCTAAAGGAATCCACATAACGGGTTCCCCTTCTTATTCCACAGGGCTCCTCCCTGGGCTGTGTCTACTCTAGTCTATCATCATCCTCTGAGGCCAGGTGGTAATAACCTCTTCATCTTTAAAGCAGGGGGAACAAATACCACGTTACTGCTGGTCTCTGCTGACCATGACCGACGAGACCAGGGCAGACACCCCGGACGAGACCCCCAGTAGAGCCAGTTAGATTCTCTCTCCCGGGACCTGAGGATGGCAGGCCTCTGAACAGCCAGCAGAAGGCATGACTCTCACCGAAACACGTTAAGGGTTGGGAGTGGCGGAGGAGGGCTGAGGGCTATTTCAGACAGCAACTAGAGAAAAGGGGCCTACGGGACGCAGCAGCATAGCAAATCTGAAGCAAAAAGAAGCAGATAACAAAACTAAATGTCCAGAAAGACAGGCTATTTTGAAGAATCCAATGGCTTTTCAACCTTAGGTTCTTGTTCCCTGAAATCCAGGTGTGTTATCTTCCCCTTGAGTTTAGCGAGAAACCTTTGCATACTTCTTATAAAATTCCTCCTTTCATTTCTCTGTAATGTTTGGGTGGCCTTCCTGACTAAAGCAATAAGATTCCTAATTATTAACAATCATTGACTTAGGTTTGACTTTCTTCTACCACGTGTTAATAATCTTTGAAAAAACTTTTTCCCTTAATTTGAAATGTTTCTTCTTTATTTTCTATTACAGGTTTCTCAGTGGCCAAGAACAGTCAGAACTTGGGAAGAGGGGGAATTGTTATTTTTTAATTTAGCAATGAAAGGAAAAATTTTTTATTGACAAGTAAGGTAACTACTTACATAATCTGGTAGAGGAACATCATTGGAACTCAGCGAACCTCTCAAGGACTGTGTGGCTTGTTCCAGAACTTTGTTGTGTTTTTTTGAGAGCAAGGAAAACAAGCTGAAAAAACAAACAAAAGCCCAATTATATTAAAAGAACAAAGTGTCTCCTTTCATAGGTTTTATATGAAATTATATAATTACACAGAATGTCAATTATTTCAAAATATATTTGTAAATGATTATTTTTTCATGCCTGTGTGAACAGCAAGATTAACAATACTATTGATCTAATAAATGATAAAGTGAAAAGAATGTTTAAATTCTAAGGGCTCTAAAAAATAAAAGTTTGCCAGTTTAAGACTGTATTTCAAGCACAAGAGAAACTTTCAGAAGATTACTACCATGTAAAGAACAATGGACAGAAATTTAGAAAACCTGGGACATGAACTGACTTTACGAGTAACTCACAGTGTATACTCTGTTACAAATCACTTGAGCTTGCTGTATCTCAATTTTTCTCATCTTTCAAATAAGTGTATTAGATTATTTCTCTAGCATAATATACAGTCCACAATTCTATATCATGGCTTTATACTCTTATTTCTCAAAAAGACTGACTTTCAATATTTGTATTGTAAGATTTTGTTTCTGGCCATGATGAATTAACTGGTACTGAATAACTTGCCTGTGTAAACAACTAAAAACTGAACAAAATATATGAAATAACTGCTTTCAGATGCTCAACAACATCTGAGTACAGGATTATGATCCCTAAAATAAGAGCGATCCACAGTGCTGTGTCAGTCACTCAATAGTGTCCAACTCTTTAGGACCCACGGACTGTAGCCCATCTGGCTCCTTTGCCTATGGAGTTCTCCTCTGCTACTGGAGTTCCAGTATTCTGCCCAGGCAGGAATACTGGAGGGGGCAGCCATTCCCTTCTCCAGGGAATCTTACTGACACACGGATCAAACCCAGGTCTCCTGCACTGCAGGTGGTTCTTTACGATCTGAGCCACTAGGGGAGTCTTTTGGGGGGCCCATGTGATTCATTACCTAGAAAGTGAGTTTCCATCTAGAGGAACATTTTAGACTGTGGCTCAGAAAGCTGGGGCCCAAGCAGTGCACAAGAGTATTGTACTAAGAAGACAGATATGAATCTGGGGCTTCTGTGGCAGCTGGAATTTGCAGAGTAGATTGTTAGACTGGAGGGAACTGCAAGAGGGAAGTCCAAAACCTGCCTCAGTGTCAATTCTTGAGTGCTTGGCTAAATATTAAACTGTGCTGTGCAGAGACAGACCTCACAAGGTGTGACAGTGAACCATCATTCAGAAGGCACAAACCAAACAGAGACTGGGGAAGTCACAAAAGACTGGAGGTATGCTGAAGTTCCAGCCTGTCAGAGTGGATAACACTCAGTTGAATTCTTGGAAAGGTGATGTTTTAGGAGTAGTATTCTAACCAAGAGTAAAGATTATTCTAAGATGGATCCTAACAGAATTAAGTGAGTGATTTTCAAAGTATAAAACAAAATTACACTAAATATAAATGGATTAAACCCTCTGGTTAAATGACAAGAGACTGTCAGACTAGGTAAAAAAACTAAACCCAAAAGCATGCTATTTATAAGAGCCACACTTGTAAATTTGAAGATACAGATAAGTGAACAGTAAAATGATTCAAAAGAGATATTGTTTAATACAAACACTAATCATAAGAAAGGTGGAGTGGCTATATTAATATTAGACAAAGTAGGTTTAAGGATAAGATTATTACTAGAGATAAAGAGAGAAATTTTATAGTGATGAATTTACCAAGAAGCTGTAACAATCATAAATGTGTATATGCCAAATAACAGAGTTTCAAATATACATAATTATATGATCCTAATATTACATCTACTGTATTTAATGAATATAGAATTCCTCTTTGGGCTAGACAACAGGTTAAAAATAAAGACAATTCTGACTCCACGTACTTTTCCATATAACTATCACTTGTAGTATCTTTTTTAAGGCCTGAAACATTACTCTAGTATTTCTTAGTGGTATTTTTCTAAATAGAATATTGATCTGAATATCAATTTAGGAAAATACCTAATTATTTCAGATGGTTTAAATGGGATAATTACTGAAAACAAGACTACTAAGTATTCTTTCCAGATTAAGTATTAACTAACATTAAAATGTCAAAAAATGAATGAAAAAGTTTCTTAACACTTATGGGTAATGCTGGATGCACACAAAGCAAATGGAACAGAGCCAAGAATATTCTCTAGATTCACATTCAAATACTGCAGGAAAATCAGTGAAATAATTACTGGGTGAATAAGTGTGAAATCATGTAACACTGATCAAGCACATGTTGATAAGAGAGATTTCTGTGAAATAGAATAGTCCAGTAAAGTTTAATGAAGGGGTTAGACTTTATATAAAGCTTTGAAGAGGAAAAAAATCTGTGCAAGGAGAGAGAAGGCATTTCCAAACAGAAGGCAAAGCACAGAGGCAAAACAGGGGACAGAGAGAAGAGTGAAGTGGAAGTGTGTAAAGAAGTAGGAAAAAGACTCAATCTGTAAGGGTTTGTGCATTGTTTCTGTCATTTTATTTTTATGGATCTTCTTTATTTGAGTTTTAGTTTTGCCTTGTTTTTTCTTTTTCCAGATTAAAAGTAAACATCATGCTTTTTCCTCACATTCACTCCCATGATGCACTGGTAACAAATGTTAGCAGTTTATTGTCTATGATTCCAGAAATGTTATATTCATCAAAGCATGTATAGGAATGAATACTATACATATACATCTATGCTTTTTAATTCACAAAATAGGTATTGCTCTGTACCTTGCACTTTTTCCACTTAATAATACAATCTTTGATTCATTCAATAAAACATATATTGACTGTTAGTTAACTGATATCCAAGCATATGTATAAATCACATTTTGACTAATCCATTAGAAAAGTATCATTGTAACGTTTACAATTTTTTGTATCATAAACAGCACTGCAGTGAACACCCCTGTACATAATTTTTAGCATACCTGAGATGAGACTGACGATAGGATAAAGTAAAACTGCTGAGTAAAAGAATAATTGAACATAGGACTGAACTGCAAGGTGTATATATTCTTAAAAACGAATTATTTTTCAGACAATGAAAATGAAGAGATAAACATATGTTGAAATAGTGTATAAAGCATATTCACAAGGAAATGCATAAAAGGGGCAAATTAGTAAGTTCACCTAATTAGTTAGTATGTTGTTATGTTAAATCACTTCAGTCGTGTTTGCCTCTTTGCAACCCTAGGGACTATAGCTTGCCAGCTTCCTCTATCCACGGGATTCTCTAGGGAAGAACACTGGAGTGGGCTGCCATTTTCCTCCTCCAGGGGATTTTCCCGACCCAGGGATCAAACCGATGTCTCTTACATCTCCTGCATTGGCAGGTGGGCTCTTTACCACTCGTGCCACCCTGGCAGCCCTCTGAAATCACAGAGCTATCTACAAAAGCAGGCTTCTGCTCAGGACACTTTTGGCTGCACAAACAGACATACACCCAGGCACGTCAGCTCTGCACACGGCCACATTCTAAGACCTTCAAGGTCATTATATTACATAACTAAATATACAACTTAGTGAATTTTCTGAAATAAATGGAGTTTCAGAAGCTTTCTGAGATGGAATGGTCTTTGGTGGTTGACTCTAGTACATGGCATGGCAAGACTCAAAAGGGGCATCAACTGGGTGCCCAAACAGAAAGCTAACTAAAGCAGTAAACACACCTGTAAGAAGTGAGCTTTTTGGTATTAGTAGGAGGAAAGGGGGCAAGTGAAGTACAGTGGCGTGCTTTATGTTTACATAATACCAGAACTGCTTCATGGGCTCAACAAACCTGGGATTTTCTCAGTCAGTGTTCTAAGAGTGTACCCTTCAGAGAAGGACAAAAGAGATAATCTATGGTAGCTTTTATCATCAATTGAAGACATTTATGAAATGAGTCCTGGGAATCAAAGCAAAGAGGGTTTGATAATGTTTTCTTCAGAGAAGAAAGGCTAGTTTGTTTATTTTAAAAGAGAATACTAACAATCTGCTTTCCTTGTTAGTAGAAGACAAAACAAGGAAGGGAACTACAATTCAAACACAAGCTCTTTCAGTTGGACACAAGGGAAAATGTGACTGCTTCGGGCCTGCAGTGTTGATATGGTCCACCTCAAGAACCTGTAGCTATGCTCCCAGCTGTTTTGAAGAAGGTCAGTGTAGGAACAGATGATCTGAGGTCACTTCCAGTTTTCTATCGTGAATAAGAAACAGAATTCACACTTACTCAGGCTGTTATTCTTCTGCCATCTAATAGGCTTTTGTCTCAGTTCTGTTAGCCAGAGCTCTCAAAGTTTTCTTAAATTTTTTAAAAAAATTCTAATTTTGTCTTCCATTTGGTATTTTTAGGGCACAATGACCTAAATTTATATGAGACATGATTTGCAAATTGCTGAGAAAAGTAACTTTTGCTTAAAGCTTTTGCATTCAAAATACCAGCTCTAGTTAAGTGCTAGTGAGAGTAAGCAACACACATGATATTTGTATGGAAGGGGTAATTCTGATTCTGGAAATAAGTGAAACTGACTACCAAGTGCACTGATACTCAGAATATAGCTGTCATGATACTTAATTTAAATTGGAAAAAGACTGGATTTTCCTTTTTGTACAAGAATGTTCATTATAAATTGGTTTAATGGTGAAAAACTAAAAGCAATAAAAACTCTGGTCAAGAATACAATGGGTAAATAAACTGTGTGTTTATTTGACATAGGTGTGTTTATATGACATAGTGTGTCATATAATGACACTATGTAGCAATTAAAGGTTATCTAAACGGGATAAATCTCAAAAAAACAATGTTGTTCAATGAGCAAGGACCCTGGTAGAGAATGTGAACAAGGCATTATTATTTATTCAGTGTCTTTAGCATACAAATCAACATTATATATCTTCTACAGATAAAACTTTTGAAGTAATAAAACACACATGGGAATGATAAACACAACATTTAGGATAGTCATCATTCTCTGAGAAAGGAAGGAAATGAGATCAGGGAGGAAGAAATGAGAGGCTCAGCACGC